ATATATATACAACTATCCTGCGAACATGTATACGCAGTTTCAAATGTTTTGCTATGATTCAGTTCTAGTTTTTTTGGTTTTTTTTTACATATCAATAGATTCACATTATTGTGATTAGAAATTGAGAATTATAAGATTGGAAAATTTCTATCTGCAAACATGTATTAACGTGTTTTCATTTAGTTGCAACAGTATTTAGGTCTGTTAGGCATTGCAGGCTTAAAATCATTTCTGATCAAGAATAACCCAGCTTACATCCCGTGCAGTTTATATTATTGGGCCTAAAAGTCAATAAAGACCCTTTGGTTGATAGTAATTAAAGGTAGGCATAGTAATCATTTTAGCGTAATGAAAGAATACCTAAACGTATACCTCAAAAAAACGCATTGAAGTAATTAACAAATTAAATGTAAATACTATCTTAAACATAATGTAACGAGTATCGTGCTTCAATTCTCATTGACAACATAACAATGTTAACGGTAGATCATCCAATCGAATTAATTTATATGTAGCCTCTCGGTTCCGCGCTTTCGAGAAATTAAGCTACGCGCTGAAATCGAGAATGATGGTGACCAGTCAGTCATGTATTTACGCCCAATTGAAATTCTGCCTTCTTTTTTAAATTATAAGAGGTGATAAATTAGACACGTAAATGTCATAATTTTATCGCCTTAGAATCTCATGAGTTCACGTATAATACAGTTGGGGTTTAATGTATCAATGCAAGCATTAGACTACGAATTTATGTCTTATTACACGATGTTTTCCCCATGACTGTTTTTAATAACTTGCTTCACGTCTGTAAAATACCCACTGATATTTTACTCACTTGCCTTTTAAATTATATTAGTTATTAATCGAAATATTCAACGAAATAAATGTGGTGTTGAGGAATATTTTCTATATGAAAACATTATTTGAAGCATGTTGCTTTCCTTGAAAAAAAAATCACTTGTATTAAAAAATGTACCCGTTGTCTTAGAATGTGTTAAAATTATCAGTAATCTAAACCCATGACTCTTACTATAAGGTGCCTTATCGTCTTCAAATAATAGCATTGTATTGTTTCACATCACATGTCATTTTCTCGAAATATATTTTCAAGATAAACATTATTTTACCTAAAATTAATCATTTAATTTCTCTATATATAACCATGATTTCAAGTTTGTGGTATTGAGCACCGTATTATTACTGATGTCTTTTAGGCATATCCCTTGACCTAATAACAATCTAGTTATGATAAAATATATACTGTAGGCCTATAAATAACTTATCCTTTTTGGCAAAAAAAAAAAAATCAGAATAAGTTTTCCTATAAAACAGGCTACTACGAGAATGACCAAAAATATTACTATTTGAGTGGTGTAACTTTCCTCACCGATGTTACAATATTTC